TAAAATAAAATAAAATAAAATAAAATAAAATAAAAAATAAATAAAATTAAAATAAAATAAAAAATAAATAAAATAAAACGTTACAGACAAAATATTTAAAATCATAATATTAAGCAAAATATTTTCCACCTGCGTTATCGAAAATGAGACTTGAACAAAAGGTTAGTTTTCGAATTGTTAACCAAGTCCTATGTTTTTGGGTATGTATTTATGTACATAAATATGTAAATACCTACATAAGTATGTACCTATATTCTGCAAATGCCTACTTAAGTTTATTTGCATTAACTTTTCTTTGTTTATGTTTTATATGCTGCGTACAGAGCGTGACCATTTGGCACACTGACTCACATTGTTCCAAGTACGAGTACATACATTGAACACTGTATTTATGTAGGTGCATATGTTCATGTGTTAGAAGCAATGCCGAGCTAAGAGATTGCTCTTTTTTTCATTTCTCACACTGAATGTATTGTTTGCAAGCGAAGCAAACACCGTGCTTTAGATTAAATTTTATTACACAAATATTTTTACGAGCATAAAGAGCGGGCTGCAATACGTATATATGTACATAGGTATCTAATTCATATGTATACTGGTGCAAGTGTGCACATAACCGGCAGTCGCAACAAGAACGAAATTGTATTGCATACATATGTTTGTACATACTATATCTCTCACGTATGAAATATTTATGTAGATTTTAATGCTAAGCTATTAGCTTTGTCTTTGTTTTTTGATTTTTTGTGTTAAACATTTTGTTTTTATTGTATGTATGCCAAATGGTAAAACAGCTGTTCGCTAGCAATTCTTGCTTTTTTTGCTTTCACCTTTTTTTTTGAAAGTTGTTCTGGTTCGGCATACTGCGTTATATATGTATATAGATATGTGCATTAGGGTGGTCAAAAAATGCGGGTGAAAAGTAAAATCGGAATTTTAATGCCCTCGCCCCCTTGGATTGATCTATACCGAAAAAAAAAGTATACCGCTGGCTTTTGTGGAAATAAAAAAATATTTGAAGGTCGCTCCAAAAACAAGAAGAAAACAACTTTTCGTATAAATGGTATAGAATTCTGGAAAATCAATATTTTCCGATCGGAAAATTTTGCTTTTCTTCAGAAGGCTGCCAATAATAATACCCAATTGTATATTATACCATAAGTAACGATTTTTTATTGGTCCCTCCAATTGAATTTTTTGATGTTTCTTGGGGTCCTATAAAAACTAGTTAGTAATAAAAAATGGGTAAATAAACAATTGGGTATTAATAATGGAAGTCCTTTGAAGAGAAACAAAGTTTTCCAAGCAAAAAATGTAGATTTACAAAAATTCGATATACATATATCATTTCTATGAAAACTTCAATGTTTGCCATATAGAGTACATAGAATGCTTTGTGCGCTTTGAGCGACCCCTAAGTATTTTTTGATTTTAAAATAAAACAACAGGGGTATAGAACAATCCAAATTCTAAATTAACTTTTTTTTTCACCACCCTAATGTACATACATATGTATGTATATAACTACACAGGTACGTATTTTGTTTTACTTTTAAGCTGTTTTTTGGCGTAACTTTGACAATGAAAAATTTGCTTCCGTTTGGAATTGTCTTTGAATTAGCACCGGTCGTGGCTTGGTGTGGCAGTTTAGTTTGAATTGGGACAGTAGAAATACAATTTACATAAACATACATACCCACAGACATATGTACATAAATATTTAGGTAATTAACAAAAATGGAATTTTGAAAGCACTTATGACATATTTACTATGCCAATTTTGGACTTAAGTAAATAGTACCTAAATATGATGAATTAGAATATGAAAAAATTAGAGGTTAAAATTATTACTGAATTGAACGATGAACGTAAAAGAGATTTATGTGCAAAATTATAAATATAAGTTTCAACATTTCTCACTAAAGACCTTAATATCACTATTAGACTAATATCAAAAGTATGACACAGAAAGAGCTTGGCCTAGAGGCTACAATTTCTTGGTATATATATATATTTTATATAGTTTTATTTGAGTCGTAAATACTAATAAGTAAAACTGATTTTCTTATATGTATTCAAATACAATATGGGTATTCATGGAAACGCGTAAATGCCTCGTAACAGCGTACACCTCGTAAATAACCCGATTTTCGATACAAAATTAAGTAAGTTTACGAGGTTGACATGGTTACGAGGCATTTAGACAAATTTTATTTCAGATTCAAACACATTTCTTTGCAAATAATTAAAAATCGCTGCCATGGTAAAACCAAAAAGACTGTTTGAAAACATCTTGTTACTTTTTTCGTCTGTCGATTTTATAACTGGTTCGAAACTATAGAAAACGAGGTTCAAAGCGAACTAAATTCCATCTGTCGAATTTAGGACTGGTTCTAAACTATAGAAAAGGAAATGCAGCGGGGGACAATTTCCAATTCCTATGACATCGCCGTGTTAAATTCGCCAGTTTGTTGCCAAAGAGATTTATCGTGAACTAGTAGTGGGTTCCTTTGTCAAGCTCTGAAATTTTTTATAGATTTCCTTAAAATAAATAACGAATAGTGGCTACCTTCACGTTAATCTAATAAGCAGATCCATTCGTCCTGTTTATATCTTATAAGTTTGTATAATTGACCTCTAGTTTCCTACCAGTCCAATGTAATTCAGAGTAATTTCTCTTTGGATAGAGTGAAACTCGTTAAAGTACTTTTGCGATTTGGAATCTAATAGCTAATATTAAATTTAATGTAAGTTTATTTAAAAGGTCTAAATACTAATGAATCCAAACGAGCTCACAAATATTATTGAGCGACTAATTCGATATGTGTATATTATCTCACTAAGCTTTGCTTACATTATTCGGAACTTACCGAACTCAGCATCAATCATCGACAGAAATCTGACTATTATTTGCTCCTTACATAAATAGCTAATATTTGACCCTCTATTCTGAATATAAACCAAATCAAACCGTGAGTACCAATTTCGCACCTAACTCGACTGCAGCGTCATCTGACGGGGCACTTTTTGTGAGAATATTTTCCTTATGTAACTATGACCGACAGGAATTTGCGGCGGAAGAAGCACTACGTAAATCCAGAGCAACTACTTCGCTAGGAAAGTGGTTGTCAGGTCTGCATCTGACCCTTAATCTGCAAAGGAATTTACAGCATGACTCTACTTCACTTACGTAGCGAGAAAGAGCTCTTCGGAACATGCGTGCCTACATCGAGCAACGCCAAAATTAGCAGGGCTGAAATGCTCTCAGGCAGACAAGACCGGTAACTGCACTACGAACGCCAGTGTTTTTCAGACTGAAATCTAAATAATGGATATGATGTGCTCTCTGTAGACAATTTAAGCCTTTAGATCAGCAACAACCAACTTGGTTTGCATTCAGGAAGATTTAACACCTCCGTCTGCAAGTGGTGTTTTCTGTAATAGACGGTTATAAGTAAGCGCCTGATATCGAAATAGGCACCAACTTGCTGGAAGAGAAGCCTGAGACGCGCTCTCCATTCCAATCCTCGTCGATGGATCCAAAAACGTAGTCAACACGGAGTCGCACGTCCTCTACGCTACTCGCCTTTGCTATAGAAAATCAAGTTGCGGTCACAGTCTTTAGGTCACCAACGACCTTATCGGAAATCTCTTCAGTATCTAAATAAATATAACGTCGACCAATACTGCTCTACGGGATATGTGTAGCGAAATGAGGAAACTGAGGAGAATGTGCAAAAATGGTTTTATATATACAAACTCTAAACATACAATCGCCTCTGAGACTGTCGTTTTTAAAAGCTGGTAAGATCAGACCAGCTGTTAACAACAGGAGGACTAATTGTGACACAAACAGACTATCGAAAGTGGTCGGATCAGCAAGGAAATTGAAGTGTCTACAGACGGCACGTAAGACTTCTCACGGTAACACTAAGGAAACACTTTATTTGCTACTTTGCAGCAAGGTTCACAGGCCATACCTTTAATGAGTTCTTTAGAAGCTGTACAGACGTCCTCTTCGAATCCATCAAACAAACCCCGAATAATGCGTTTCAGTTTTCTGAGGTATTGTCTTCCTGGAGGTTTCTAAAAGGTAGGTGTGGGTTTAGGACATGTAAAGACAGGTTTAAGAAAATCTTCTACAGAGCACAGCCATTGTACTTAGTGGAACTCTTAACAAGAGATACTCGTCTAAAGTGAATTGAAAGCATACTAAACCGATTGTAGCATTAGAGCAGCTGATTTGATTTTATTCAAATTATTTGGGCGCTAACCCAGGTATGGGCAGCGCTGACCGAACTCCATAAGCAAGTGCAAAAGTTTTACACTTTTTTGGTTCAGGTTAATTGTTAATTTTTTTTATATAACAAGCCATTTCCATATTACCTCCAAAGCCTGAATAGTAAGTATTCCCCTCAAAACAAGTAAAGCATTTTGTAAAAATTTAAATTAAAAATGTTGTACATAAATATAAATATATATTTTTATCGCTATTAAAATCTAAATGGAAAAGAGCAGTTTACATTTATTCAACACCCCTTACCTGTTCCCATACAAATTACCCGTAAATTAAAAACAAATGAATTCCAAAAAAAAACACATTTCATCTTACCTTCGGATCCAAAATGCTCCGCTCTAAGCTGCCCTCTCGATTCAGCGTGGTTGCATTGCTGCCACTACTACTACCATTCGTATACATTTGGTGATGTTGATGTTGTTGCTGTTGCTGCAATGTCGTAGCTTCCAGCCGCAAGCGAGCACGTTCCACGCGCGCCAAGGTGGGGCTATCCAAAATTGAGGGCGCACGTGATGGTGGACGTGAGTTGCTTGGCCCGCCGACAGCAGCGGCCAAAGATGCCGCTGAGGTGCCGACATTGGGCAGCTGTGCCCAGGCGGCTGAGGGCTCCAACAGCGTATGATTGGACGATGTGGAGGAACAGCCCGGCGTGGGAGTCGACGTGGACGTTGAAGTGGTGGTGGTCATGCTGTGGCTGCTATTGTTGCCACTGCCACTACTAATGGTGTGATTGCTGTAGCTATGATTGTTGGTAGTGTTGTTGTTCGAGGTGAGGAGCATTTTTGGTTGAAATTTTTTTTTCGTTTGAGTTTTCTCTTTGATTTAAAAAGCAAGTAATTGCAGAATTATGCTAATTACGTTTAGGTTTGTTTTTTTTTTTAATTTGCGCTCGACTGCCTAGGTTTATGGTAGGTAATTCTTTTAATGATTTGGAGTTTTATTGGTGAGTTCACGTATCTAGAGTTGATTATTTTAATTTAAATTTTAGGTTGAAAATATTTATTATGGAGTTTTTACTATTTTAGTTTTCGTTGGTTTTTATTGTATACTAATTAAATTTATGTAATTTATTATTCATTTGAGTTTTTAATTGAGTTAATTCGTTGATTTAATTAATTCTTATTAATACTTATAATACATACTTATTGATATCAATAAGTTGGTGCCTTCTACACTTCACTCAAGCTTTATTAACTTTTTTAATTTCTTCATGAAAAACACTTCTTTAATCCTTTGAAATCACTTTCACTGTTTTCCTGCAAGTAAAAAGAAGACAAAGTTAAATTAAATATTAAACATTTTATAACATTCGTTTCAGTGTAAATGGCTGCTGATCAATGTTTCTTAAATCAGTTCAATTAGTAATCGTGCGTGAATGACAAATTGTTGCAGATTAAATTCCATATCAACTGATGCAGTCCCTAGTGAACGAGCAGAAAATTTGAACCTAAGCTTCGAACTTAGAAGTTTTGGATCATGCGTTCTGTTTAAGCATCTGGAACATAAAAAATTATATTTACAAAAAAATAGTAAAGTAAAGTCGGTAAGCCATTCGTTAAGCTATGTTTCAGTGCGCCCTTCACGCTTCGTGAGCTTTTGAGGCTTAAGTGTGGCCGAAGAAACAAATTTGTAGATTTCGCGTCGTTTTAAGAAATTGGTACTGTCTCATGGTACATCATGGTATATTTTGCATTAAGATATACAACTTCATCCATATATATATGTAAGGCTCATGCCGCAAAACCACTGAAGGCATCTGATCATTCACAGTGTCATGGATTCGTTTAATTGCAACAGAGGATTATCAGGCGCATAATTTCCCATAGAGGGAATGTCATTTGACCACTGAGATCATCCAACTTATCACCACTACTCCGTATAAAACGCAAAGTTTGGAGCACTTGAAAATCAACATTGGTCTAGTTATGGCCAAGATACCATCCAATATATATACATATGCCAACAAGTGGCCGCAAATATCTAAAAAAGTCTATGATGAAGGCAGTCCACACAGTTTTAGACTCACACATAGACAAAGTGAAGTCCCTTGCTTAATGCCGTAGATTTTTGAACGGGAACGTATATATATATATACATATATGATTCCAGATGTACACCGCGATATTGATGGTAATTGCAAAGCAGACGAATTGACCAGGAAACTGTCGGGAAAAGCAGACTCTAGGTATAGGAATAGCCTCTTTTAAACAATTTGCTACAGATCACACCATTTCAGTAACCAATCAGCGCTGAAACAACTTTTTCTCCCTGCGTATTTTTCAGGGTTACCTCTTTCTATAATAGGAAACGGTCATTGTTGCTCTAAAATTTTAACAGAAAATAAGTGTTCTTCCCTATAAATACTCTCACAAGGCACTTACTATTCAATGTGGAGTCCGAACGAGGATGTAAGGACCTATGTGAGGAGAGGATCTAGTCTACTGAACAAACATGTAGAACAGAATGGAAAAAGTTGCCAAATTGAAAAATAAATTACCAATTTATCAAATTTTATAAGGATAACAAAAAGTTACCAATTTTGGTTAGAAATTTAAAATTTGATTTCTTACAAACATATTTGAGGTATTTAGGACATATGTACGTACATACATCGGTACCACTAAAATAGACACTACATAATTTGCTAAATTAAGTACATTCCCCATTATACTCTGTATGGAATGTCATAATTCTGACGCGAAAGCTTACAAATTACCGTTATGAAATTTTCTACATTTTATTCTGTGTAAATTTTGCCTAATAAATTATTATTGTTTACTTTTTTGGGTGTGAAAACTATTCGTAGAAAATTTGTATTATTTTATTAGCGCCATATGTACATTCATATGTATGTACGTAGTCTTGCGCACCATGAATGGTATAGCCCTAAACAAATTATACAAATTCCCTGAAGCTTTAGTTTGAAGTTTTGTACGTGCCAAAAATTCATATGAATTGAGACATATTTCAATAATGACTACTGTCGTATGTATATATGTATGAATATATATATATATTAATATTAGGGTGGTCCTTAAAAATCAAGTGAAGGATTTTTTAGGTATCATCTCCTCAATCGGTAATATCACTGTCACAGATAGCACATATCATTTTTGGTCCCCATTGGAGACGGTTAAGGAGTGTCGCACTGGGGGCAAAGTACAGATTCCTCTAAAGAGACTCAAAAAATTTAAATTAATTGTTCTTTCTATCTAATACCCAAAATCGATACTACCATAGTCGAAGATATCACTTATAAATTTTAGCTCCGATTTGATTCGCTTGAGACGTCTTCGTCTTGTAATCTCATCTTTATTATATTTTTATTAATTTCAAATTAAAATAAAATCAAAAAAAATTATGCTCAATAATTGGGGGTGATGCACACTTCATTAAGCATTAAGATTCATAAATTGTTAAATGATATTATTTTTCAAAGAAAATAAAACAATTTCAAAAAAAAAAATTATCTTGGACTGCAGCTCTCTAGAGCCTAGTGAAAGCTTTGATCCCATCGAGAGTCTGGCTAGATTTCCGTAACTGAGATTTTCTGGACTGTGTCAAAACAGGTTTTGGCTTGGAAATCATTTCTACAGATATTCTATTCAGGCGCTTAATAGATTCTCTTACTCACCCAATTCAATGTCCTCACCCAATAGAATCTGAACAAGCCCTAGCATAAAAAAACAATTATCAGGATTAGCACTACCACGCAATATCTTTTACTTGGGTAACCAGATTAAGTACTAGGTGGTTTTCTCTAGTAGATAAATTTACGTTGCTAGCGTTAGGAAAGTATTTGCCATGCGACAGCCTTAAAGGGATAACCTTGACGGGCACCGGATAGGTTGTCCTGAAATAAATTTATGTTCTTAGAGCCTGGACTGGCTCCAGAATAACAGTTTGAGAGAATCACTTTTGGTGTTGGGAAGATATTCTTAAATGAGATACTTTTTAGCAGTACCTGGACTACAGCGAGTCAAACTCTTATTTGGTCCATTAGACGGAAGCTGTCCAGAATCATTGGAGCAAGCGTTTTACCGTTGTGTCTAGCACCTCGATGGTTTTGCTTGTCGGAAACTAGACGGAAGAGAGAAAATCTTCTGACCAGCACTTGTCTAAAATAGAGATTAATTTCCAGCTGGGATGATATTTAGTGATAAGTTTTAACATTTTGCCGAAATTTCAAAAAAAAAAAAATTTATTTTTCATGTTCGAATTTAACCTTGAATAACTTATGGAGGACTGAATTTATTGAAAAATCCTAAAAGATTTTTTTTACATCCTTCAATTCCCTTCACAAATATAAGTATGTACATACATATATCGGTCATTCCGATAAGTTGACTTAAAAACGAGCTAAAAAATTTAAAATTTAAAAAACATGTCCTTATTATTTATATGGAAAATAGAAATTTGCGATGAGTGTCTTTTAAAAGTTTTCATGTTAAAGCCTGTGCTTTTGACACACATCTGGTTTCACTAATCCGATAATATTTTACAAGAAAATTAAAAAAAAGTTAAAAAATAGCACTTTTTTCAACCCGTGTAATATATATACATACATATTAGTCTATGTATATTCTCGTACATACAGTATCTGTCATATCTATAGCACGCCATTTCCAAGTGATATTGCGTGCCCCTTATGTTTATTTATTTATTTTTAAGAATTTTCAATTAAAATTTAGTTCATTCTCAGACGAACCCCATACAGAAGTTCAACAATTTGTAGAAAACTACAAAAAAGGGTAACAAATTTTCACCTAAATTTGAAACTTTTTTCCCGGAAGTGTTAAAATTTTTTTGAGTACACAGTTTTTTAGCCCCTGCAATTTTAGTCTGATAATGTGCAAATTTCAAGTGGCTAGGAATTACCGTTAAATTTTTAGATTTTTTTTTTGTCGCATTGGCTTCCATATAATGAATAAACTCAATTTATTTGTATATGGAAGAAAACCGCAACACCTTTGGCGAAAAAAATTCTAAAAAATCAAGCCACTTGAAACTTGCACATTGTCAGACTAAAATTGATTGGGCTATAAAACTGTGTATTCAGAAAAATTCAAAGACTTCCGAGAAAAAAGTTTGAAATTTAGGTGAAAATTTGTTGCACTTTTTTGTAGTTTTCTACAAATTATTAAACTTGGGTTTATATGGGTTTTGTTAGAGAAAGAACTGTATTTTAATTGAAAATTCTTAAAAATAAGTAAATGAACATAAGTGGCACTCAATATCACTTTGAAATGACGTGCTATAGATATGACCGATACTGTATGTAGGTATTTATGCATTCACTAATGTATTTATACCTTCATTTATATGTAGATTCTAGATAATTTAAAGTCGAGTATATGGCCAGCATTTTTAATATTTCCCTTACTTACATATTTGCCACGCTCAAGCTACCTAGCCTTAAAAAATTCTTGAATAGTACCTACCTATTTACCAGTATAAACGTGCCTATAAAGAAAAAGAATTAACTCTTTTTGTTCATCTTCATTCAACCAAAATCATTTCACAGACAATTGCAGTCAGCATTAGAGCCTCATTGATTAGTGGAACCGGTTTTACAACACCGACTCAAGAAACAAGTATTCATAAAGGAATGGTTGCGTGTACATATGTACATACATAAATACAACTATACACACACACAAACAAATGTACAACGTACAAGCCCATAGATATAGATTCATATGCCGCCAGCAGACAGGCCTAAAAAACAAGTCTTCTTTCTTTCATTTTCGATATTCTTCTTCATACAAGTACGTATTGAGCTATCTTCAAATTGTTGCCAGCATACGAGTATGTACACATTTTTCCAAGCCGCACAGTTTTTGTTGTAAATAGGTACCTTTTCGGTTGCATTTTTTTTTTCCTACATAGTTTGAATTTCTGCACTACGTTTTTTTTTTTTCTTATCTGCTTTTTCAACTATCTTCGCGCAGTGCAAGCCCATGCTTCCTCCAAAGCTCAGTATATCCAGTAAACAAACTTAGCTATTTTTTTTCGCCAAGTTTGGTCCCCATAAAGGACTAGTGTTGCAAGCAACGCTTTTTCGGCAATTAGGGTGTTGTGCAGCTATTTAATGTGGTGAAAATTATTTAAGCACTGGGGAGATTTATTCACATGGAATTGGAGATTGGGCTAATAGATTTATTTTAAATAAATTGTGAATCTGCGAAAATATCTTTTCAGCAGATGGATACACTTTTTAACCTTTTTCCCGAAAATGTACATACAGGCTCGAAAATATGCGAGTAACATTAGGTTTGTATAGTAACAGTAACATTGCAGCGAGAGCGTAAAAGCAAAATAGAGCGTTAAATTGAGAAGAAGAGAAAACTAGCAGAAGAACTTATTGAACACAAAACTAGCAATAACTTGCAAGTGAACAGTTGTTGCACTGCTTTGACAATCTGCTGTAAACATTTTACTATTTATAAATCAGTTTTAAACTCTTTGCTTTACACACAAGCACTAACACTGTCCAGTACATCATTAATATTTTTGTTTCCACTCATTTTACTTTTGTTTGTGCCAAGGCGAATCAATATAAGGTGATTGCAGGAGTACAAAAACAAAAATTTACATGTATTTTGTTTTTGCTTTGGCGGCATAAACTGTCAAAACCTGTAAGTGTGAGTAGAAATTCAAACAAAATTTTTCAATTTGATATCAGAAGCCGTGCGGCGAAACACATACACAAAATGAACTGAGCTAGTAACACCACTTTTTATATATTCTTTTGACATTTATTCTAATTCTTCTTCTTCTGCTAGCTAATTTCTGCTAGTAAAAATTTCACTAGCAAGAATTTGCAGCTCTCTCGTGTTGTTACGCTCTCGATTCAGTGCTCTCTTGCAAATTTTTTGGGTTATCATACACTTTTCCAGTAAAAGTTTGCAGGTTCCAGTACAAATTAGTACTGACTATTGGTAATTTTACAAACCTATTCAAATATCGTCGCCTGGATGGAAAATTGCCGGAAGCGTCATTTTGACAATTTGTGGTTTTTGGATATCTTCTTTAGTTTCCGACTAATTGACTAAAATTTTTTCGGTTATTTGGTACAAATTGCGTTAGTATTGCTGTCGTACTAAACTAATCAAGATCTTTCAAATAGAGTTATCTGTTCTTCTTTAGTTTCCGACATATTCATCTTTATCATGAGTTTCATTTTCTATAACCGGGTCACTTTTCGTTTGCGAGTGTTCACTACAGGTGGATGAAAAAATTGTTGGCGAAATTTTGTTCGGGCGAAACTCACGATTAGGCTGATTAGTAAAAAGTATGGTTAATTTATAAAAATTGTTATCACATTTTCGCGTATATCACTAAAACTGACTGCAAATTTTTTGACAAATGTCGTATACGACAAAATTTTATTAAACTCATAAATGGTTGACACTAAACTAAAAAAAATAAGATAATTTAAGAATTTCATGAACTAGTACATAGCATTCTCCGACACTTGGAGAAAATCTTTAGTCGTGTTTCTGAGAAATTGCATTGCAAACTTCAATCGTGAGTTACCGAAAGTAACTTGTGACAATCTTTTATCCAGGGATCTACATAAATTATAATTGTCATTATTTTCGTTGTTGGAGTATATGCCAGACGAGTAACAGGTATATACATACAAGGATACCTAAATTAGCGCGTTGAACTTGTATATTTATCTCTCTCCAACGCATTAATTCTATATACGTAGGTACCAACGCCTGACAAAGTTATGTCTAAATTTAATAATGGCTCTATGACAAAATATTGATGGAATGTATTCGTAGATTTTTATTTACTTCATTTCATACATTAGCATTGATGTTTTGTTTTTCATACATTAGTATTGATGTTTTTTACTAAATACCAGGAATAAATATTTAATAAAAAACTATTTCATTTAAGCTTAACCAACTTTTAGTTGCTCGGAGCTAATTTTGGAACGCTTCACGAAACATTTTCATAGACAGTAAGTGCAACCCTGGGTGCTTCATTAACGAGCTGAAAAACCAAACAAATAAAAAAATTCCATCTGAACCAATATTCCCAAAAATTATAAAGCAAAACAAAAACCATTTTTTCCAATTTATGCACTGTTATTTTTATTATTGCAATACAATTTCGCAGCTCTTCAAACATTTTCCACATTATGCTTTTAGGGCTAGTAGTTTCCGACCCCATTTGCTCGTTTTTTTTTCAATTCTGAATTTAGGCTAGGCTTCATGGGAACTTACTGCGGGTGCAAACAGACCACATTTTGTAAACTGAATTGTGATATTTAATTTTATTTTATAATGAAAAATGAATTTAATGTGCAATTTTTTAAGTTTACTAGATGTAAGACAACTTTTAATTTTCTTTATATATTGCATGTTTTAGTTTTAATTCTGTTTAAGTTAAGTTGTAAAGGTGAAAATAGGCCTCCTGGGCAACCGAGCACATTAAACAAAAAATCGGTAACGCGCGTAAAAGCATACCTCACAAGTGGTGTGGAAAATGCAAGAACAAATATAAATGGAATAATTTTCGAAATTATGAAATGGTTATTGGTATTTTCAATCTCAAAGGGGGTGATTAATTTGAACGTTATTTAAGCTGCCTTTACACGGTCGATTTTTGTCGTTTAACCAAAATCTACCCGTGTAAATTGCAATTCAACCGTAAAATATAAGCGTTTTGGCTAGTCGATATCTTAAGTAAATTTTCCAGTCGACAGAAATCGACCCGTGAAAAGACAACTTCAGGAATTTTTTAATTTTCTTTTTTTTTTTTTGCTTGGGCGTCTTTTGAAGATGTGCCAAATTATATTGTCTACTTAAATACAAAACAACAATTTCTTTAAGCCATCTTGTGCAGCAATTTGTTGATCTTATCCTCACGGCTACCGAAATCACCAACCTCAACGTAGTGATTAGCCTTCTTGCGCCAGCCTCGGGTTGATGTGTTGAGCTTGAATAGCAACAGGAAGTTGGGGGCTTTCTTGAAGTGAAGTGAATCAACGCACTGAATTTCGTGCGCTTCGCGAAATTTGCGTTCGATCACAAAGCAGAGATTGGGACACGCTTGACCATTCAACGTTTGTACATCAATTCACAAACTGATTTAAGATTTCGATAACCCCATATAGGGGGTTCGGCATACGTAGCATATTAATGGTTGCCTTGCTCAATTTGATGAACACACCGTTTTAATGTGGCGAAGACAGAACTGTAAAACTACGCACTTTTTGTGCAACTTTGTTGATACCGCGGATGCGGATCACAAAAGCCAATTTGGATTTTTCAGGCCCGTCGAATTGGCCGTATTTCTTTGCCACACAGCGCTACTCCATCTCACGGCGTCCATCACAGAGTTTTCTTGTTTGATATTTCTCAGCATGCACCAAGTTTTCACATTTACGGAGTGCAATCACAGCAGTGCGCTTTAGTTTACGTTTGATCAGGGTAGCAATTTGCTGACCTGCTCTTGCAGAACTGCAGCTTCGGCTCGGGGACAGGAGGCAGGTTCCTGGAAGGTTGTCTGCCCTTTGCTTGCGGTTTCTTACCGGCCGTGATGGCAGTCATCTTAACTTGTTACTTAGCACGCTGAAAAGGCGAAAAAAAGTTCGCCAAATGTTTGGAGCACATCGTAAATGAGCCACTCGATTTATAACATTTCTATAAACAATTTAATTAAATACTTTTTATACATAGATATGCTGCAACCATGCACTTACTTTCCCAAATTCCATCCTGCTTATCGGCATAATTTTCCAAATATGCCTGCTACTTCATTACTAATTACTCAATTTTCCAACTGCGCCTTCTTCGTTGGCTCGACATATCCTAAAAAGACAAATTTACATTAAACAATAGAAATCGCAAAAATTAGCAAATAAAATACTCGCTTTGTTTTGTTTTGTTGTCAAATTTCTGAGAAATGTGAATTCACCACGATGCGATACAGAAAGAACAAGGACCACGGATGTAATTTTAAGTAAACCTATTATTCAGTGGCAAGGCGCAGAGCGTTCGGGGCAGCAATATTAATTTGAATCAAATATAACATTAAACGGTGGTTCTAATACATTTTTTGATATTATTAACCAGAGTACATACATTATATGGTATTTCTTTCAAAATTAATGTACTATATGAACTTTTTTTCAAATATTTCTTAAGTTTCTTTCATGAGTGCTGAAAAGCAACCATGCGTGTAAGAAATTGTGTGCTACCTAAAATTTCACCTCTGGAAACTTTATCCCCATAAAGGACTTCACCACAGTTTTTTTACTGGATATACTGAGCTCCAAAGATTTGGACATACAAACATTCATGTAATCGCAGAAACACGAATACACCCACATATACCTATACATATGCGTTCATACCCATACCCGATATGCATGCCTCAGTTGGTTGCACATTGAGCAACATTCTCGTAGGTTGACTGGCTCACTGGTTGGGTTGATGGCTGGTGGCTGGCTGTCCAATAACTCAGCACTCTGTGTGTGTTTATGCTTGGTGCACAAATGGTGCTATGTATGTACATATGTACATATGTATGCCGGTTTGTATGTTAATCGTTAAATGACTGCAAGTATGTTAATCTTTTAATGGTTGTTTGTTTGTATTTGTGCATGTGAATATACATACATATTTTTTTATAGTATTTGTGGGTGTTTGTATTGTTGCAAAATATGCATTCTTCTGCCTGCGAGTTCGCATTCAAGGCGTTTGCAACAACTTTACTCACTTACAGGCGTACATATTTACATACAAACATACACTCTTCTTTGCTGCTTTGCCTTCCTTATTACATAGTACTGCTGGAATTCTTGACTACTTTTCGCCATTTATTGTCTTTAACTTCATTTACATACGCTCATACATACATACATACATACATATTATTATTAATGCATTCTATGCCTCTCTTCAATTGTTTTGCGTGTCAGTGGCAACGCATATGGAATTTCAATATTTTTGCTTACAATTCCAAACATGTCATTCAACGTTTCCTTAGCACAATCGCGTATCTCTATAAGGGAAAACCAACAAATTATTAAAGCCACTTTAGCGCTGTCTAATGACCACTGATTCACCTAAGTATGTATGTACATGTAGTTACATGTATAAATAAACACAAATGAAATTGGATATAAAAATGTTTAAGGGCCTCCACCACTCAGCACTTGTTCTAACAATTAAAGTTTGCTTTAAAGTTTACATATACAAATACATCAAGCTCCTGAGGTTTTTCGAACTGGAAAAGCCTAACAAGCAGCCGAAAAACTGCATACTCGGAAATTTTAAAAGACCCTCAAAGTTTAGCCTATTAACAAAAAAAAACAGTTTTTCATAGGTGGGAGCATCTACACAATATTTCTTTTTTATATGAAGGAAGGTACCCAACAACACCCTCAGCGAAAAAATTAGCAAAAATCAACGGTAATCTTTACGGGCTGGAAACTGGCATTCCATACTCAAAATTTGTCTAACAGCGAATTTCACGAAAGCAATTTATTTTAGTTTTTTGAATTTTATATGGAAATTGACAGAAAGTAAGAAATCATTTTCCATTTAAATTGCTGGTGAAACCGGCAGCAAGAAATTGATTTGAAAAATGGGAAATTTCAAAGAAAATTTCTTTTATTTTTCAAAGTTTCTCTATGAAATTAAAAAAAAATTGATTATTGTGGTTTTTGCTGTTGAATTTCTTTATGAAAAAATAAGCAAAAATTTGGTTTAGTAGTAGTATAGTTATTCCTGGCACTCATGGCATATAAAAAAGCACACTGTATATAAAAATTTTCGATTTTTGTTTCAAGCCTTCTTAACTTTTTATAAATTTGGGTGTTAGGTATTACTGTTTTTAAGTTATTTAGAACAAGGACCGTAACGGTTACGATTTTTGTAGTAAAAACCATCATTTAACCGTTAAAATTTGATTTATATTTTTGCGATCAAATTTAACCGGTATTTTGTCATTTTAATTTTTTCTACCAAAAATAATGGCTTTTTTTATTTGAAATTTTTCAGTCGTGTTTTAACCGTAATTTCCAAATTTAGTTTTTTTAGAAAACGCAGTTTCCATCATAAAGGTTAAAAATGATCGGAAAACTATAAATTACGATGAAATTTGATCGAAAAACAAAAAATCAAACATGTAATTAAAAAAAAAAAATTTTAAATACAATTTTTTTTTCGGTGAATATTATAAAAAAAAACACCCCGCACTACCTACCCACCTGTAAAGTTATTTCTTTCCTTTTAATTAATATACGTTCTAGATATAAACCATATCGACATCTGCGCCACCTAGCGGAACAATTCACCTTTCATATTGCATTGTCATTGGGTTCTAAGCTAAGTCTAAAGTCTAAGTCTAGCTCATTGGGAAGTTGGTTGGAAGACTTGATTACACACAGGTGGAATTAGTAAAAGTTTGTAAAAATAACGATTTTGCAAAGATCTTAAATAAAAACCTAGGTATTTATCGGTTAATTTCGCCCTTGATTTATATTCCATAAAAACTGAAATCAAATTAGTTTGTCATTTTTTTGTTTGCATGAATTTTCAATCTTTATATACTTTTTTTTATAAATAAGATGGAATTCGTGAAACCAAAATTCAATTTCCTAGTGTTTGCAATCAAGTGTCGATAACAAAAATCACTTGAATCAGCTATTTCTCAAAATGTGTTTTTTTGTGTTCCCGTACTTCTGGACATTATTCCGTTTTTGAGAGAAAATTGTTTGCTTATTCTCTAATTACCGGATCCGGTCCGGGTTGTACGGGAAAGAAAATATTAACTAGGAGTTTTGGAGGTATTGAGAGCGAAGACAAACACAAAAATACTTTGAAGGCGCAGCCAAGCCCGCTGGGATTTTCTAGTAATAAATAAATTTTTGGCCAAGTATGTATGAATGTATTTCGTGTATATATGGGTTATAAACTTTTAAAACGAAACTGACTGTAAGATATGAAGAAACTTTTAAATTCTACAGCGAATGTCCCCTAATCTGTGACTTAGATATAAAACCTAAGTAGTTTTCGTATAAGTAAATAGAAAAAGGTTACAACTACTACACCCCGTTTTAAAATATATAATAAACGCACCAAATGTTGACAAGGTTGAACAAATAATTTTTTTAAATTTAATTTTATTTGTTTTTTATAACTTTCGTAAAAAATTAAAGCCTATTAATTTCTTATAAAGATTTTGGGCATGCAATCTTTTGCCCTTTCAGTTTAATTAAAACGCAAGTTTGAAGTAGCTGAGGCTACTGTTGATGTTTGGCAATTTTTTTTTCTTTTTTGGTGACGGTGTGGCGCATTCTCTTCCAAACAAGATATAATAACTTTTTTATATGGAAGAAAATGCGCAACACATTAAAAAAAAATCAGGAGTTATCGGTAAGTTCAAATTATTTCGAACATGTACTTTATAATTTACGCAGCTAAAAATTCAGAGACAGTTTTAAAATAACAAAAATTTATGGCAAGTATTTTAACTAATATAAATTTATGACCCATTGTGAAATAGGCAAAAATAAATGTTTAATTCTTAAATGACCAAAAAATTAGGTCCAGTGCTTACTTTGAAGCGTTTAATGTTTGATGTACATATGTATGAATTAAAATTTTAATCATTTAAAAAACAGGACATAAAATTTAAGTAATTTTAGACCAATTTTTGAGCGGCTGAAAAGCGTTCAGTTTTTGAAGGGATAACATTTATGTAAAAATTTTTATTGACCAACAATTTAAGGCAAATTTTTTGTTGAACAAATAATTCTTTCAGTATTTAAATTACCAAAAATGTATGTCCATTTCTTCAATAAACAAAGAATTATGTCTAATTTTTACTTTCAAGGGTTCAATTTTTGATAAAATTGTTTTGATAATTTAACAACTTGGCAAATATTTCTACATATGGCCGAATTTGAAATAGAAAACAATTTATGTCTAATTTTTTAATGGCTTAAAAGTATGTCCTGTTTTTTTTTCAAACGAAACATTTTTTTTATCATTTTTTTATATTTGACATCAAAACTGAACATAAATGCTTGGTAAGTTTGTAAGCCCAACCTTTTGCGTTCAGATTTTAAATTGCTAAAAATGTATGGCCAATATTTGATTGATCAAAAATTTATGGTCAGTTTTTTTGAACAAGAATTTCTTTCTGGTTTTTAAATTACAAAAAACGTATGTATGCTTTTGAAGTTACCAAAAAGTTATGTCCATGTTTCACTTTCAAGTGATAAATTTTTGATACAAGTCAAAAGAAAAAGTATGCAGTTTTGATGAAATTTTTTTTTTTTTTTTACTTTTGAAATGGAAGTCTTTCTTCATGAAAGGCTTTATTTAAAGGTTTTTTTTAACATCTCGTTATTTAGTATTGCAAACCCTTATTTTAATCCTTTTGCTCTATATCGTTTTTTTTTTGTGATTTTTAATGGTTAAAAGTGAATGTTTATTTTTTTCAATATTTTTTATCCCCGCTTTGCGTACTTTATGTTGATGTCATCGAGAAACCTCGAATTTTCTTGGTTAGATTATAATTTTTGTTATTAAGATGATACCCGCTAGGGTCCATGAAACCAAAAACTTACAACACCTGATCAAAATGATTTAAAATGCAACTTTTTAAAATTCAATTTTCGCTTGTTAATTTTATTTTTTTTTCGAAATTTATACTCCAAGCTTAGTGCTATCGTGACAAAAATATATAAATTTTTTTATGAAAAAGTCATTACTTACATTAAAAAAAAATTATAATTTTTACCAAGTTTTTACAATAACCACGTCTTTTTGCTGTATTAGCGAAATCCTCAGAAAAGCGAAGTCAAAGATAAATTTTAAATCCTGCTTGATAAAATTGTTCTTAGTGACTCAAAATTTATATGAAAAGAATAGAAACATTTGCTGAAAGGTTTTTAAACGATCAGCAATTTCAGAAGTGTGGAAAAATTCAATTATTGTTCAACACTTTTTTGTATTCCCTCCGCAACCAACCCCATTTACAAGCAAATCACTATGGAGATTTCAAATTTTTATGGTCCAAAGAATTAGCTCACCCTCATATACACACATTAAATACATATTTCTGTAATGACTTTATTGTTTAGCGGAATCAAGTTTTGTTGTTTTGTTTCTTCTTTTATTCTCATTTCAAATTTTCATTTATGCGATGTGAATGCAACTAATGAACTGCATTCAAACATAACTGGATGTTCATACACATAGCTATTTTATACATGCATATGTATGTATGTATGTATGTAAGTATGTTAATTTGGAATACAAATGAAATTGCAATCGCACTGCAACACTTTTGTCACATAAACATTCAATCACTTTCAATCAATTTGTTTATTAAATTGCTTTCATTAACAAACATTCAAAGAACTACATACAAATGTATGTCTGTATGCAAATTATTTTTAGATCAGTGATTACTTAAATCTGTATGTATGCAGAAATGTTGATCTGATTAGCTCAATTACCATTTAAAAAAATCACGTTTCACTTTTCCCCTTTTTTCGCACTCGCGTTATTGTCGTATTTCCTAGCCGTACTGAACACAAAATTCACAATTAGATTTCGCCG